CAAATGAGAAACATCTCCACTGCATTAACAAACTCATGGGTCTGGTTCTCCTTGCAGTTCAGTCTCACTCACCATATTCAGTCAGACTCTGCGCCACGTTCCTGTAAACATTTCCTAGCATGTTTGTGTAAACGATGTGAAGCACTGAGGGTATGTAGAGAAAAGCCTGAGACAGCAGGGAGTTCCAGTCTTTGTGTAGCTGTTTCACCTGGGCCTCCCCCCAGTAGAAACACATCATACCGAGTACCACCAGCCCTGCAGGAGGAGGCGGGACAGTTATTTCATCTCTTACTGCTAAATCTTTGCAGAATCAGAGAAAATAGAGCAAAACCATTTCTGCACCTACCTAGAAACAGCCCCACTACTGGGACCGACACCAGCACCATACGCAGGTCTCTTTTCCATTCAGGGAAAAGAGGCTCCACGCGACCTGTAACGGGGTTTACGCCGAGGTCACCGTGGAAATTGGGCCGAGGCTCTGCAAAACGCTCTGCGAGGTTCATGGTCCCCCAGCGGTACGACAACGAGGAGCTCCGGCGTTTCCACAGCTCCATGAACACCGTGGACCAGATCATGCTGAACATCGCCTGAAGCATGTGGCCGCTGATCATCGGTCCTGAGTCATCATCATCAATTATGACCTTTGATCCCGAGACCGAATCCACCATTTCCTTCTTAACCTCACCTGTGATGGCAGGAAGAGTTTTGTGTCCTGTCAGTGACATCCATACAGCGGGGCATCTCATGTTTAATAACTGGATTTAATCACAGTCTGGAATCACTGGTCTTTGTGGGAGAAGATAGGACTTTAATGAAAAGGTGGGAAAAAGCCAACAACAGTCCTGCTTCAGACTGTTTCCAATTCATACAAGTTCACTTCTTCTTACAGAAAACATTTACTTTGAGCATTAGTTGTATTTTACAATTAATTTAAGTCAATTCGAGTCACTCCAGTGACAGTGGGAAGGGAAAACTCCCTTTAACAGGAAGTAACCTTGGGCAGAATCCGGCTCAGGGGGATGAGGGTAGGAACAGAAGACAATTCTGTGTAGGTGTTTTCTTCTTTGAAGCACAGTATTTTATACTGTATATGGTAAAACAGCATATTTCTTACCTGAAAACTACAATTTATAAAAACAACTAATAAAAATCACCATAAAACTTCCACAACTGGTTTCTGAAATAATTCTTTAAAAGGTAAACTCTCATCTTGAAATGTTTCTATTAAATATTAATACAAACTTCCAACAGAAGAAAAAAAAATGTAGTAAAAAGGGTCTGCCACTGTGCTTTGTGTTTAATTACTGGCCGTGGGAACTGCATACATAACTGTTTTGTCTGTGTTAGGTTCTCATGGTTGTCTAAGGAGCTTGAAAAGAAAGCAACTGGACTTCTTTAAGTTTCGTGAAGACGTTTCACAGCTCATCTAAGAGGCTTCTTCAGTTCTAACACCAAATGGTAACACGACAGGGTGATGCACGGTTTCACAGCGACTTCGCCCAAAACCGCTGCTGTTGATGACTCATGCCTTTTTTCACACCTTGGCTCCAGGGTCAAGTCACATGATTAATAGGTCAACCTCTTAAGGGACAACGCCCAC